GTCTGAGCTTCTCCAACCTTCCCCAGGCCCAACAGGGTGAGGAACCCTCTGGCTTTTGTTGGGTAATCAGCAATGACCAAGATGAGAGGATGGGGGCCTGGAGCACAACCAGCCAGGCTGGAAAGACCGGCCCTGCCGCCTGCCTGCTGGTTCCAACTGAGAATTAGGGTTAGGGCTAGGGCTAGGGCTAGGGTTAGGGTGCTGGCCATGCACGGCGCTGCGCCGGGCGGGCAGCCTTCCCCACCGCCGCGTCCCTTGCAGGTCCCTGGCGCTGCTGGGCGTGCTGGCGGCGGCGGGGACGGCCTTCGGTGCCTACAACATGGCCATGGCGGCGATGAGCCCGTGCCCGCTGCTGCAGCCGTCCCCGTGGGGCGACGCCGTCATCGTAAGTGCCCCGCGCGCGTCGTGAGCGCCCCGCGGGCGCCCGCCCGCGCTGACCGCCCCGTTCCGCGCCGCAGGTGCTCTCCTGGGTGCTCTTCACCGGGACGCTCTCCTACGTGAAGGTGATGGCCGGCGTGATCCTGCGGAGCCGCAGCCACGGCGCCCTGCTCTGCTACGGGGCCATGGAGCAGCTGGGCTCGCTGCTCGGCGCTCTCCTCATGTTCCCCCTCGTCAACGTCTACGGCTTCTTCCAGTCGGCCGACTACTGCAGCCTGCGGTGCCCGGGCTGAGCGGGAGCCGCCCGCGCCCGCGGCGCGAGGAGCCGGGCAGCGCGGCGCCCGCGGCGCCTTTGAGCTAATAGAAGGTGTGTGCCGAGCGCCCCGGCCTCCCGCGCCGCCGCCGCCGCCGCCCCGCGCACCGCGGCACCGCGGGCGCGCTCGGGGCTCCGCGGGTTGGGGCGAGCAGGGACGGGCACGGGGACCCACGCCACGTGTTGTGAGGTGTCCCCAAGGAAAGGCCCAAGGAGCAGGTGGGGAAACGGAGACACGGAGCAGGGACGGCTCCTCCGGGCTGCTCCGTTCCCTGCTCCGCGCTCTCCTCCSGCTCCCTGCTCCCATCCCAGCTCTGTGCTCCCCACAAGCTCCCGGGGGGGTGGCCACGGGGCCCCCCTCGCTCGGCCAGGAGCAGGGGCCGTCACGGCAGCAAGGTGGCCGCGCACGGAGCCGCAGGACGGAGCAGCTCCCGTGCGCCCGGCGCCCGTCCCCGGGGCACGAGGCGGCGGCGCCTTTGTCCCCGTCCCTTTGTCTGGCAATCTGCTGGCCCGGGCTGCCAGACAGCCCCTCTCGTGCCTTCAGGCCGCGGCTGCGGCCCCTCGGGGGGCTCCTGCGGGCGGGACGCGGCCGGAATCGCTAATCGCCTCCCCTCCCCGCACCATCAGCCCGCGGCACCGCGGCCGCTCGCGCCCCACGTGCGGCGCCCTGCCCCGGCCCTGCTGCCCTCGGGGGCCTTGCTCCGCGCTGGGGACACGGCCGGTGCTGCGAGCGGGGGAGCAGGATAGGGATGTGCCGGCCTGGCAGCCGGGTGCCAGTCCTGGGGATATCCCAGGCTCTGTCTGTGCCACTGCGGGGCCACCCCCAGCCTCGCCGCTGGCACTGGGAGACGGGGCCAAATCTGCAGCCTGGCATTTGCCACCGCAAGGGAAAGAAGCCYGGTAGCTGCCGCAGGAGGCAGTGACTCATCCCAAAAGTGCCGTGTCCAGCGCTCCCACRATGTGCTGGGATGCACCGGGATGCTGCCAGCGCATGTTGGGCTGCACCGGGATGCTCCCGCAGTGTGCTGGGCTGCACTGGGATGCTCCTGCTGTGTGCTGAGATGCACTGGGATGCTTCCACTGTGTGTCGGACTGCACCGAGATGCTCTCGTCGCATGTTGGGCTGCACCCGGGTGCTTCCCTGTGTGCCGGGCTGCACCGGGATGTTCCCACCACATGCCGGGCTGCACCGGGATGCTCCCGCCGCAGAGGGGCACCAGTGGGACTACAAGCTCCGTGCCCACAGGCAGCACCCAGCTCACACATGCAGGCCCCGTGTGTCCCTTGGGATGAGCACCCCTCTCCCAGCCGCCCCGCACCCCTCGGCAGGGTCCCCAGCGCCCCTCGCTGCCTCGCRCGCCGGCACGGGGGAACAATCGCCRGCACGGCGGGAATTATTTCCATACAGCTGCTCGGGAAGGCAGGAAKGCAGCCGTTCCCGGCGGCGCTCCAGCAGGAAGCCTGCGCCTTTCTTCCCAGCGCTGGGCTCGTGCGCCGCGCGCGGGGGCGGCCGGGGGGGGACCCGGCCGCGCCGCCCTCCACACCGCCAGCACCGCGCGCTCCGTGGGCCTGATTGCAGTTATTTCCATGCATTATCTCAGTCCCCTGCCTCCTAAAGGAGCCGCGCGCCCGGCCCGCTCCCCTCCCCCTGCCTTTTCCACTTAATTACCTCCCTCGTTAGCGCAGCCTGCAGGGAGGAGGAAGCCGGGCAGCCAGAGCCGGGCCCAACTAGGGCGTAAGTAATGGCCCGCGCTGCCCAGGCGCTCCCGGCCGCGAGGAGACGGGGTGCCCTGCTCGGGGACGGGGTGTCCGGGGCCGCGCTGGGGCACCCCGAGGGAGGCCGCGGGTGATGCAGTGTGAGGTGCAGGGTGCCAGGCACAGCGCGGGGTTTGGGACACGCGTGGGCCGTCCTGGTGCTCATGACCACCCRGCGCAGGGCCCGGGGAGGGTCTCRGTGTGATGGGCTGGGGGCAGCACTGAGGGCAGGAGGGTGACARGACATGAGGCTCCCTGGGGTCCCCTGCACCCTGATATTGCTGTGGTTCAGAAACAGGGGTCTGGCCCCTGCAATAAAGAGCTGGGGGTATCAGAGCAGTGCAGGCCCGTTGCGGTGTCCCTCAAGTGTCCCCTGCTCCTGGAGCCCCCCTCTCCCTAAGGACATCCCTGGAGCCCAGCCCCACTCCCAGAATCTCCCACTCCTCATGGACATCCCTGGAGCTCAGCCCTGCTCCTGGAGCCCCCGGCTCCCCACAGGAATCCCCTGAGCAGGGCGGCAGCTTGGAGGGGTTCCCGTCGGGACGGCAGCGGGATGCAGCTGGGATGCCGCAGCAGTGGGATGCAGCAGCAGTGGGGTGGCAGCCGCCCCGCGGCGCTCAGTGGGGCCGGGGTCTCATCCTGCCCGCRCGGGGCGGCAGCGGCAGCTGCACCGCGCAGGGCGCCCGCGAGGGGAGGGGGCCGCGCGGCTGCGGAGGGAACAATGCGCTGCCACGAGCCCCGCTATTGTTGTGGGCGGCGAAGGTCACGGTGCTTCCCCGGGGACGGGGACGGGAACAGAGAAAGGAATAGGACAAGGGGAAAGGGATGACAAATGGGGATGGGAGCAGGGAAAAGGGCCAGGGGTGATGGTGACAGGGAACAGGGAACATCAATGGAGAAATGATGGGGATGGGATGGGAACAAGGATGGGATCAGGGGACAAGGATGGAAGGGAACAGAGACGGCCAGGCAAGAGGGCATAGAAGTGGTGAACAGGGATGGGGGCAGTGAGAAGGGACAGGGGACAGGAAYGGAGACAAGAGACAGGGAAGGGGACAGGGGATAAGAATGGGGACAGGAATATGTAGAGGGGACAAGGACTGGGACAAGGAACAGGGACAGCAGGGGGGACAAGGATCCCCAGCCCCACCATCCCCAGCCCCTGTGAGCCGGTACAGACAAAGGCAGAGGGAGGCAGCAGCCCGTGTCCCTGTGGGTCCCCTCTCCCCAGACCGGGGGACCAGGACCCCACGAAGCCACTGCTGTCCCGGGCGCTCTGTGCTGCTGGCGGGGGCTCGGGGGGCTCGGGGGGCGCTGGGGGGCTCCGAGTGCAGCCGGGCGGAGCGGCTCCCTCCCCCCCCCCAGCCACCTGCCTTCTTCCCCCTCCTCCTCCTCCTCGTGCTCTCCTCCTCCTCCTCGCCGCCTGCCTCCCTCCCTCCCCGCCCCTCGCACTCGGCTCCCCGCGCCCGCCGCCCGCAGAACCGCTGCCCGGCGGCGCTCGGCGGCAGCAGAGCCCGGGGCCGGGACCGGGGCCGGGACCGGGGCCGGGGCGCGGGGCCCCTCGCGGGGCCGGGACCGGAGCTGTCCGGTGCTGAAGGCGCCGCCCGGCCCCGCCATGCCCCGCTCCTTCCTGGTCAAGAAGATCAAGGCGGACGCCTTCCCGGACGCCGGGGCCCCCGCGCCCAGCTACGCCCCCCTGGAGTCCCCCTACGCGCTGCCCGGCCCCGCCGCCGGCGATGGTGAGTGCGGGGTCCCGGGGGCGCCGGGGGCGCCGGGACAGAGCCCCCCCCGCCGCCCCGCGCCTTTGTGTGCGCGCGCCAGCGCCGGGGCACCGGGGGAGGCCGGCCGGGGGGGTCGGGGGAGGCGGGGGGGCGGCCGGGGGGGCCGGTCTTTGTGTCCGCCCGCTTCGCGTGGGCTCGTCCCCGCTCGCCTTGTCCCCCCGCGGGGCCACCGAAGTTGCTCCTTGGGGACACAGCAGAGCGAGGGACCCCGGCCGGAGCCCGGGACCCCCACCCGGCCCAGGGAGAGCTGCTGGGGGGGCCGCAGCCGCCGGGGACGGGGGGCGCCGGGGGAAGGAGGCAGCAGCCGGAGCCGGCGCTGCCTGCGGGTTTCATTGTTCGCAGCAGAGCCCGGAGCCCCTCGAGGAGCGCGGCGGGGCGGGCGCTCCCGGAGCCCGGCAAGAGCCGCGGGGAGCGGGGCAGRGCGAGGGGAGCGACCCGGCCGCCCCGCAGCCGTAGGGGAGCTGCAAAGGGAGGGGGGGCCCCGAGCCGCGTGCRGGGAGCTGAGCCCGGGGCCACCTCGGGACCACCCGACGGGGCAGCCTAGGCACCAGTCCGGGGGGAGGGGGCTCCKTGGGTCCATCCCGGGCCCCAGTCTGGCCAGTCCTGCCTGCACTGGGTGCCCGGCACTGGGCCGGATCCAGCCACGCACGAGCCAAGGGACCAGAGCTGCACTTCCCTTGTCCCTCTGCTCTGCGCTGGCGGCTCCCCAGCAAAGGCGAGCGATTCACAGGGGCAGGGATGAGAGTCCCCTCACCTTGGGGACGGGGAGGGTCCCTGCTCGGCACCCCCRGCTGTCCAGGAGCCCTGCGCCGGTGGGGGAGGGATGTGCCGCAGCTGGGCAGAAGCTGCCGACGCTGCTCTCCTGGAAATAACCTTGCTGCGTGCTCGGAGGCAGCGGCAGAAATTGCTGAGCAGAGCGCTTTCCGCCAGCGCGTGTGACCGCACTGTCAGCACGCGCGGAGCCGCGCGGGGGGACGGCGCTGCTGCCGCTCTGCCGGGCCCACCTTGCAGGGATCCCCAGCCACGGGGGTCCCACTGCACCTCACCCCAGCGGGGGGACCCTGCCTGGGGTCCTGCAGAGCAAGGGACACACAAGGACCTGTGTTTAGGGGTGTTTGCATGGCCCTGGCTGGAACTGGGAGCCTAGGGGCATCACACACAGGGCCCTGGTGAGCCGGCTCTGCACAGACCCCTGGACACCCCACTCTGTCCCACACTGGGACATTCTGCCTGGGCACCATTGTGCCCAGCACGTTGCCAGTAGCACACAACACTGCACGTGCTGACAGTGTGGCGGGGAGGAGGCTGCATTGTCCCCCGCGCAGGGGGACGCTGCACTGAGCAGCAGGGGCACAATGCGGTGTGCAGGGACAATGCACCACGCGGGGGTGTCGCACCATGCAGGGACATTGCACTGCCTATGGATGCTGCGTGGCGGGGGGACATTGCACAGGGGGCTCAGCCCCATCGCTGCACCCCGCTGCCATGGCACTGTCTCACCCCCCAGGCTACATCCCGCACTGCCCGGCGCCTGCCGGCTTCGACGCCGACAAGAAGCAGGGGCTGCAGCTGCCGCCGGCCGAGCCGGCCTTCGCGCCGGCCCACGAGGAGTACAGCGACCCCGAGAGCCCCCAGTCGAGCTTCTCGGCCCGCTACTTCCACGGCGAGGCGGCGGTCACGGACAGCTACTCCATGGACGCCTTCTTCATCACGGACGGGCGGTCACGGCGGCGCGGCGAGAGCCAGCGGCGCGGCAGCCACCGCCACGGCTGCCCCGAGTGCGGCAAGACGTACGCCACGTCGTCCAACCTGAGCCGCCACAAGCAGACGCACCGCAGCCTGGACAGCAAGATGGCCCGCAAGTGCCCCACGTGCGGCAAGGCGTACGTGTCCATGCCCGCGCTCGCCATGCACGTCCTCACGCACAACCTCAAGCACAAGTGCGACGTGTGCGGCAAGGCCTTCAGCCGGCCCTGGCTGCTGCAGGGCCACATGCGCTCGCACACGGGCGAGAAGCCCTTCGGCTGCGCGCACTGCGGCAAGGCCTTCGCCGACCGCTCCAACCTGCGCGCCCACATGCAGACCCACTCCGCCTTCAAGCACTACAAGTGCAAGCAGTGCGAGAAGACCTTCGCCCTCAAGTCGTACCTCAACAAGCACTACGAGTCCGCCTGCTTCAAGGGCTCCGAGCACAGCTGTGCAATGGGCAACTAGCCCCTGCCGGCCCCGGGTGCCCCGCGGCGCCCACGCAGCCCCTCGAGCTGCAGGACACATCCCTGTCCCTGTCCCAGCTCACCAGCATCCCCAAGGAGGGCGTCCCCATGTCTCCCTGGAGAGCTGGGGGCAAGAAGGGGCCGGGAACCCCCCCCCAAACCCGGGAGAGACCCCCCTCCCCTTGACTCATGACCTCCCTCCCTTATTTATTTAATTTATTGCTATTATTTATTTAGAGCTGCTGCTTCTCCCCCCGGGAAGCACCGGGGAAGAAAGGACACTCGGCTGCTCCCTCTGGGGGCAAAACCTGATCCCGCTCACGCTGCCGGGACCAGGGCACTGCAGAGGGGACAGGGGACAAGGCCACCCGGCCTGTCCCTCCTGGGGGGCAGAGAGCGGAGCTCCAGGCTGGGAGCTCCCAGTCCAGCCAGATGCCCCTGCCCAGATCCTGCAGCCCTGCACACATCGGCCCCAACATGGGGCTGGTGCTGCTGCAACGTCGGGGTGAGTCTATTTATTTGCTCTTATTTATAYTATTTATGGTTTAAACTTTTCACTATTTATTTGCAAGAGTGGCTTGGCCGTGTGGCCACCCGCATGGCCCATGGGGCCCAGCTGCAGCCACCGTGACTGTGGGCACAGGGATGGGGACACGAGGGACAGAGGCGCCAGGAGGCCGCAGCCCTGCGCTCGAGCCAAGGCCGAGCTGCTCTCCCCGTCCTCCCTGCGCCCGGGAGYACCCAGCGCCTCTATGCAACCTCCCAGCGCAGAGCACCCTGCAGGGCCAGCGCCTCCTGCTACCTCGGCCGGCGAGATAGTGCGGCGCCCACCRCCCTGCGGCTGCATTCGTGCACCTCAACGCACCGTCTTCCTTCCTCCTTGTAGCCTTCCTCCCTGCAGCCTTCCTCCTTGCAGTCTTCCTCCCTGCCTTGCTGGCAGCCGTGCCCTGCTGCGTCCGCGGGCTCTCGTGCAGCTCAACCCTCCCGCACGCTCCAGACCACGATGCTCCCTGCTGCATTCGTGAGCTGCAGGGCAGAGCATCGGTGCAGCCGCACGTGCATCCCGTTGCGCTCCCCGTGCGCGCTGTGACGGCCGCGCGCTTCGCTCCGTGTCCCCACGGCGCCCGCCGCGCTCCAGCGGCACCGCCTTGGCCGGCGCATCCCCGCACCGCGCGGGCCGCGCGCGCCCCTTTCTTCCTGTAAATAGCAGATCCTACAGCAATAATTTTCCATGCATGATTGATTTTTTTTCTGCCAGGATTTTGTATTTGATGGATGGCAGCGAGACCAGGCTGCCGCGAAGCCACCTGCAGTATTACTTGTAATGCAATTCAGGGATATAAAAGGGACTTCTGCCACTAAGACACTTGTCTCGGAGGGTTTGTGCCTGCGACAATGGGCAGTTGTGCATGTGCTGGGTGGACAGGGAAACCGTGGGGCGAAAAGAGGTGTCCGGCAGTGACCTCGTCTCATTCAGAAGCCCTTTGCTCCCCTCAGCTCCCAGGCCGGTTGTCACTGTCACCACCGCCACGTGGGGACGTCCCGGCAGGTGACACTTCCCTGCCAGCTCATCACCTGAGTCATTCTGCACACAGCAGGGCCTCGCAGCCCCCTTCCCAAGGCCACCGTCACCCCCGCTCTCCCCAAGGGCAGGTGAGTCACCAGTGACATTGGGGCAATGCTCTTGGTGTGCAAGGACACCGAGCCCAGCACGGGGGCTGCAGCTGGTACCTGACAGCACAGCCGAGACTCCCACTGCCAGCAGCCTCTGCCAGGTCTCTCCACGAGCCGGGGGGCAGCAGAAGCTTTTGGGGCTGTCCCAGGAGCACCACATCCTGCAGGTGACCTGGTTGATGTGGCTGGGTGCAAGCAGGATCCCAGGTTCCTCCCACGCCACGGTCACTGACACCCACCTGCGCCCTCGGCCTGCGGGCTGCCCGCCGCTGCCTCCCCTGCACGGAGCCGCCGAGGGCTCCGGGGAAGCCACCGGTGCCGGCAGCGGCGCCGCGGCCAAGGAGCCCCAGCTGCATCCGCGCGCGGGGACCGAGCGGCGGCGCCAGCCCCGCGGCCTGGGCCGGCCGGGCCGCGCTGCTGCTTCACTGTGACTCTGCAAATCGGCGCGCGGGGACGGGGCCGGGCGGCCGCGCGGGGCGCGGCGGGACGGCCCGGCCGGTACCGGCAGCGGCCATGGCCGAGGCGGAGGGCAGCAGCATCCACACGCAGCACGTCGCGGCCGTGCACGACGTGCCCATGCACGTCCTCATCCGGCCCATCCCCGCCGCGCTGGAGCCCGGCAAGGTGCAGAGCCTGGTGCGGACGCTGCAGGTAACGGCGGCCCCCGTCCRCGCGGCCCCGGGGCACTGCGGGGGAAGCCCGCGGCCCCGGCACGGGCGGGTTGGGCGCTGCCGGCCTCGCGGTGCTCCCCGACCTCTCTCGCTTTCCCAGGAGGATCCGTCCCGCGTGCCCCCCATCGACGTGCTCTGGATTAAGGGCAGCGAGGGCGGCGACTACTTCTACTCCTTCGGGGGCTGCCACCGCTACGCGGCCCACCGGGAGCTGCGGCGGGAGACCATCCGCGCCAAGATCCTGCCCTCCACCCTCAGCGACCTCCGCACCTACCTGGGGGCCTCCACTCCCGACCTGCGCTAGCGCCCGCCCCGGGGGTCCCCAGGGCAGAGCCYCCCGGCCCGCATGGTGACGGGACCCCCGTGCCCGGGCTCGCTCCGGGACGGCGGCGGYGCCGGGGGCTCCCCGCGCGCTCCCGCGGGGATGGGGACAGGGACCCCCGCTCGGCACCGGGGGTCCCCGCGATCCCACGGGGTGTGGGGGGGGGGGATCCCGGCGCGGGGCTCCCCGGCGGGGCCGCCAGGTGGCGCCCTCGTGCCGCGCCGCTGCGGGCGAGCCGAACCGGGCCGGGCTGAACCGAACCGGGGGGGCCTAAGCCGGGACTGGACTGAGCTGGGTTGGGACCAGACTGAGCTGAACCGGGCCAGGCTGAGCTGGACCAGGGGGGCCTAAGCCGGGACTGGACTGAGCTGGGTTGGGACCAGACYGAGCTGAACCGGGCCAGGCTGAGCTGGACCAGGGGGGCCTAAGCCGGGACTGGACTGAGCTGGGTTGGGACCAGACTGAGCTGAACCGGGCCAGGCTGAGCTGGACCAGGGGGGCCTAAGCCGGGACTGGACTGAGCTGGGTTGGGACCAGACYGAGCTGAACCGGGCCAGGCTGAGCTGGACCAGGGGGGCCTAAGCCGGGACTGGACTGAGCTGGGTTGGGACCAGACTGAGCTGAACCAGGTTGGGCTGGGCCGGAGCTGTGCTGAGACAAACTGGGACCTACCCGGACCAACCAGAACTGGGATGAGTGAAACTAGGACGAGACTGGTCTGAGCCAAACCGGACTAGAGCTGAGCTGGGCTGAGCTAAGGATGAGCTGGCCGCACTGAACCAAGCTTGGCTGTGACTAATCGGCCTAGGGCTGAACTGGGCTGAGCCGAACCAGTCCAGGCAGAGCCAGAGCGAAGCCAAGCAGGGGCAGAGCCGGTGCGCAGGCCTCTCCCTGCCGCTCACCCTGCTGCCAACCTAGCAGGACCCGGAGCTGCTCCTGCTGTTCCTGCTCCAGAGCCTCCTGCCCCTCATCCTTGGGCATCCCCCAGCCCTTCCCTATGGTGGGGGTCTGTGAGATGGGGCTCTGGGGACACCCACTGCTGCTGTTGGAATAAAGGCAGTCAGAGCGCGACGGCTTTGGGGCCTGGTGCTGGGGCCTGGGGTCGGGGTACGCGGCGGCACGAGGCAGAGCCGTGAGGACGGAGGACACAACCCAGCAGGGGAGCACTGCAGGGCTGTGGCACCGATGGCTCTGCAAACGCCACGTCCTCGGCCACGTGCAGGCTGGAAAACCAGTCCAGCATCCCACGGGCATCTCGGCATCCCTGGAAGCCAGGAGCGCAGTCCAGGGAGGGGAAAGGCCGTGACTCACCCCCCCGCGCTGTGAGTCAGCAGCACAAGCGGGACTAGAACCGTGTCCGGACACTGCTGCCCTCGCCCTGCGGCCTCCCCGCGCTCAGCCTCAGCCAGAGCCTGTCCTCCGCGGCAGGCACAGGGAGAGGGCTCAGGAAGGGGGTCCTGGCCCACCGGGACGGGCAGGTCTGTGGGTGGGGAGTGTTCATCTACCTTGATGCATCTGCAGGGTGCCCGATACTGCAGGACGCAGCAGCGCTGCCCATGGCATTGGGCCCATCGTAGGGACCGGTGCCACTGCCCGCGGGCCAGGCGTTTCCGCAGGAGGCTCCAGGGGCTCAGCCGGGCACGAGGGGAGGCCGCGGCGGCAGGGCTGCATGCGCCGCATCAAAGCTGCCCTCTGCCCGGGAGGAAGCCCTGCAAGCGCTTGCCGAGAGAACAGCCCCAGCCCGGCCTCCCTCAAGGGCCATAAATTTCTCCGAAGAATCGTGGAGTGCTAAAAGGTTTCCTCTTGTTGGAGTGCGGGAGGGAGGGATGGGGCAGGAGCTGCTTGGGTTAAAAGGGGTGCCGCGCGGTAGGGGCTGGTTTCACCCCATCCTGCCGGCACCGGGGCTGCGCACAGGGCACTGCTGCCACCGGGAGCTGCCGGTGCCAAGGAGCCAGCGTGGCTGGTGTCTTCTCCCGCACCTCACAGGGGTTCCAGCCGGGAGCTGCAGCATCTGCCCTGTCCCCTCTCCATCCCCAGGCCGGCCAGGGGCTGCACAGGGRGGTCCCACCATGGGTGGGTTTTGCATCAGGGGGCTCAGGATGGGGCAGAGTCGGGGCCGGGCTGTGATGCTGCTGTAGGTGCTTGGCAGGGGCTGCAGGCACCTCCCTGGTGCCCGTGGCCACGTGTGCCACCCTGCTCGCCTGCGTTTGCCCCTCTCCCAGCGAGGGCACAGGAGAGAGCTTGTGCATGGAGCAGCTATTTCCCGTCCGTCCATCGGTCCATCCGTCAGTCCATCCGTCCCTCCACCTGTCCCCCTTCCCTCTGCCTGACCTGCGCGGTCTCCGGTATCGCGGCTGACAGCCGATCGCGGCTGCCTCCAATCCATTCGTTCCGGGGCAGGAACAAAGGCGCTTTGTGGACTCGCTCCCTCTTAATCTGCTGGGGCTGGGGAGGGTCCCGGCTCCGGAACTGGGACAGACTGCCCCGCGCGACAGCCGTGTAATGCCTTCCAGACCGCCGGCGTGGGGCCCCGCAGGTAGCGCCCCGCGGGCGGGCGGCCCCGGCACCGCCGCAGCCCCGGTGCTGCCCGACCCGGGTACCCRCCGCCCCCCGGGGCAGGGTCAGCCCGGGGGGCAAATGGCTTCGGGCACTTCAAAGGGTTCTGTGACGACCAGCCCCTTCAGCAAGCGCTGCAGCGGGTCGGGAACCCCAACCCCAAATGCTGCTGGTTTCTAGCTGGGGTCTGGGCAGACCCCCCTCAACCGCATCCTGCCATGGAGCTGCCCAAACCAGGAGCTGCAGGGACAGCAGGGCCGTCCTGCACATCCCGGACTGCTATGGGATGGGATGGGATGGGATGGGATGGGATGGGATGGTTCAGGGCCGCTCGGCGGGTTCAGCAGGGTCAGCCCGCGCATCCCGGTGGCCACATGTGCCGGTGCCTGCACGGGGTCTGGAATCCATTTGCCTCGCTGGCAGCCGTGTTTTCCCAGCAGGGCCAGGAGGGCCCCGCGGGGCTGGGGGCGGCCCGTGCCCCCCCACACCATCTGCTCCCTGTTTATTTTCTTACACTTAAGTATCACCTCTTGGATCAACACCCCCCAGCCCGCGGGTGCAAGGGGCAGTTCCTGGTGTGCACAGGGAGGCTCCCKGTGTCCTGATCTCCAAGGACACAACTCCACTGTCCAGGTAGCATCAGCAGCTCTTGCTGGGCACCCCATGTGCAGGGCTTCGTGTTGCTATGGGTGGGCATCCCACATGTGGGTCAGCATCCTGCACCATGGGTCAGCATCCTGCACAGGGGGGCAGCATCCCATGCAGTGTTAGATCCCATGTGTGTGTCAGCATCCCGCACTGTGGGTTGGCATCCCAGCACCATGGCTCAGTGGATCCTGCATGCGGATCAGCATCCCGCACTGGCGGTGCCCGCTGGTGCTGCTGCTGCTGCTGCCAGAGCGCAGCTCATTTTGCTGCATGGGGCTATGAGGAGCATTGTGCCGAATGCCAGGGTGTCCTGATCCCGCTCGTTGGCAGTGCGGAGCCGCCTCCCCCAGCTCCGGTGCACGCGCACAGCTCCCGCGAGCGGGATGGGGAGGCACGTCCTGCCCCGCGCACAGGAAAGCCCGGCGGCCGCCCGCGTCCTGCGCCCCGCGGCAGCGCATCCGGTGGGGGCAGGTGGCCGGGAGCAGCCGGAGCTGCCGCTTCCCCGGCCCGGCCGCGGGGCTGGCAGCGCTGCCGGGCTGCCCTCGCCCGCTGCAGCGGGTGCATGGGGCTGGCATGGCAGCGGCACGTGTATGTGGACTGAGCTGGGAAGGCCTCTGCAGCAGCAGCCTGTGGAGACGGAGTGTGCAAGGGTGTGTACGTGGAAGCGCATGCACACACGCATGTATAGGCACATGTATGCATACAGGCACATATGCACACACATGCACGTATCAATGTGCATGCACCCACATGCATACTGCTGCATGCACACGTGTGCACACACGGGCACCCACATTTGTGTCCTTGTGCATGGCAGTGCCCCCCCCAGTCCCTGCATGTCCCAGCACTGGGTGCCCCTTCTGCCCTGTCAGCTGGCGGCCACGTGTGGGGCGCCGCAGCTGAGTACACAGCCCAGCCATCCGTCTTGCTGCTGTCAGCCCGGGGACTGCGGCGGCTCCCGCGTCCGCATCCTGCGGGCGCCTGTGCGAACGCTGGGCTCGGCCGGCAGCTTCATCCCACAGACCCCTCTGCCCTCCCTGGGGATGCTCCTGGCCACCCCACCCCGGGGTGACACAGGTCTCCCTCCCACTCCTGCCTGTCCCCGCAGTGTCCCCCCTGCCACCACTGCAGGTCCCCCTGCTGCTCTGGGTGCTGCCTGCCCTGGGTCCCCAAGCCCAGGTGGGCAGYGAGTTGGTGCCCAAAGGGGAAGGCGACACAGGGGCACCCGCCACTGCCCTTGCTCTCCTGCCGCGTGATTTACGGGCGCAGCGAGGGCGGACAAATGGTGCAGGCAAACGGGGCAGCCGGCGTGGCCAGCCTCGGCCAGCTGGGCTCCACGGGGGGCGGGAACYGTTTGCTCGTGGGCAGTCACCTCCGCGGGGCCACGGTGCTGCCRGGGAGCCCTGTGCACGGGGAGCATCCGGGTGCTGGGGTGCACAGGGAGCATCCAGGTACTGGGGTACACAGGGAGCATTCTGGTTGTGGCCGGACATCATCTGAGTGTTGGGACATGGAGCACCCTCCATACCACAGCCCCATGAGTCCAGACCTCCCTGCCACCCACCCCATTCCAGGGCTGCCGCCATCCCCATTGCATCTCCCCTCTCCGTCACCAGCCCCGCAGTCCCAGGCGCCAGCAGGTCCTGTCCCCGCCAGGCTGCCACAGGCCCCGGGATGTGGGCACAACCATCGGGAGCCAGTCCGGATGGCGGTTAAATCTCCTTGGCCTCTTGGACAGTGGGGCTGGTGGGAACCCCGGCTTGTGGGGGGCAAGGAGAGCAGGGTGGGAAGGGAACCCGCCTGTGAGGGCTGGGGCTCGGAGTGGGGGGACACAGGGCTGAGCTCGGTGCCCRCTCCAAGCCCCGGGCCCGAGACTGCAGGGAGGATGCGGGAGCAGAGCAGGAGGCCCAAGCTCCGTCCTGGCAGGAAAAACCGCCCGTTCCCCGCCGCGGCGTCCAGCACTGCGGACAGAAGGCGCGCGGAGCAGCCCGCTCAGCGCCGAGCCCGGGGACAC